GGGTGGAATTAACTATAGAAAGCTGTTGACCAAAATCTTGATATTCCTAACATTTATAACATACACGTGCCTTAGGATTACATTTTTTACCACAAATAGGAGATCTCTTAGGATTAAAATTTTGGGTATTATTTGTATATGACATGCAAAATATATGTATGTACAAAAATATTATACATTTTTGTACATTATTTCGAGAGCGACTATACAATGTCATTTTTCCGTTAAAAAAGTTGTGAAATACAGAGGTATCTTCGCTACAATATTCTTAAATTTTTCGATTTTTGTACATTATCTCTTTTCTTTAAAATTATCTTCTTCCCAATAACTATTGTATTTTTCTTAAAACTCTTGTACGTTACTATTTTCCATAAAGAAATTCTTTAAATTAAAGTATTATCAAAATTAATAATTGTGTAGGGATATTATTCGAAATTGAGTTTGTATGTGCTTATTAAACTCAAAACTTTCTTTGTGATAAAAGATGAGCTAATTACTTAGACAGTCATCTAATAAGATATAAAACAAAACAATATAAATACTGTTGTACTTTCTGTACCAATATAATAAGTAATATGAGCATGTTATGAATAGAATTCTATTTGGAGTGAATGTCTATCTTGTAGAGAGTTTTACTTTGAGGCTAAGAGCCTGTTTGGATGGGCTTAAAAGCTGGTCAAACCAGCTTTTAAGCCACTTTTTCAAAATGGAGTGTTTGACAACTTAAAAAATGGGCTTAAAAAAAGTTAAAATCAGCTTAAAAAAAGTTAAAACCAACAAGTTGGGTAAGCCTAACTTTTTCAAAATTGGCTTAAAAGCCAGATATTGTTGACCAAGTATTTTATATTCTTATCCTTTATTATTTTTCTTAATGCCAAAATTACCCCTCGTTAAAGAAAAATCCTAAACATACGGTCTCTTTTTCCTTGTCCATTCCAGTTGCAGAGTTCAGCAGCTTCCTCTGCTTCTTGTTCCTCTTCTCCCATACCTCTCCCCAACTTCAACTCCAAGTTGAAAGCCTCTTCTCAGTAAGTAATCTTCTTCATAATTTTTTTTAAGTATTGATTTTGTATATTAGAAACTGTAATTTTTAATAATTAATTTTACAAAGATGTGTGAGCTGTTGGGGTCCCAACGAAATCATTAAAGGATGACAAGTAAAATTGATAATTGTTTATATTTTGATGAAATGTGAAGATCTGTAAGATCGACTAGAATTTTTCATCACTTCAACATGCTTGAAAATAATATTCCTACTTAATTATTTTTAAGAATCTGAATGCATAATTTAATATTCAGCAAATGGTACAGAAATCTGTCTCCAGTGGTCTTGATGTAAAAATTTAGCATACAATTAGTAAAAATTGTTTCTCAACAAGGTACTAATTTTGTAAAAATCAGCAGTTTAGTCATATGCTCTATATTCTATTAGTATTTGGCTTCTCTCCATTTAACTTCCTCTTTTGGCATGAAATTTCTACACCTGAAAAATGGTTTAAAAGTAAATGAGATTCTACACCTTGGTTAAATTTATTTCTTAGCAATCTTTTTGAGCTCATTCTATTGCATGACTTTAAAGGCAGCAAAACCTTTACCCACAGTTCAATTACTTTAGGTGGAAAAAATAGCTTTGTGACTTTACATTATATGAATAACATTTATTGGCTATATGTGACTTTACATTATATGAATAATAAAATAGTGTAAAGAATTAATCTATACTATCATTGTATGTAAAATCTATATATACTATATGAAGATATGAATAAGTGAATAGTGATGGATTATTGTAGGATGAATTTTAGTTCTCATACCTTTAGTAGCTAGGAAATATAATAGTTCATAAATCATGATCTTGCTTTCTCAATCTCTTGATATTCCTTTCTGTATCTTCATGAATTATGGTAGTGAAAGTGGACTCTAAGTCAACGTGTAGGGTTGAATTTATAGTTGGTGAAAGTGAAGCTATTCTTTTTGATCATCTGGTGCAATATGTGTATGTTATTTGGATCTTTTAATGATGGCAGTTGTATATCATTATTATAGTGGAGTTCTTTAGGCTCTTATAGGCTGTCAAACACAAGACTCTTTTAGGCTCTTTTAGACATTCTTTATGCAACTTCAGTCTTAACTTCTTGGTTGTTCTGCTTTCTTCAGATTATTTACATTTAATCATGCCGGACAATGCTAAGTGGGACGATGATACACATATCTATTTCTTGAGTTGTGTGAGCAAGATGTTAGAAAAGGAAATAGACCAAATACTTACCTAAATAAAGATGGGTGGAAAAGTATTGTTGATGAGTTCAGTAAGAAAACGGGAAAAGATTATGATTTAAAAAAATGAAAAATCATTGGGATTACATAAAAGGAGAATGGACACTTTTTAAGCAGTTGATGAGAGGGGAGACAGGGTTAGGATGGGATGCCACGAAAAATACGATTATGGCAGATGATGATTGGTGGGAGCGAAAAATTAAGGTACATCCCTCATTTTATCCTATGTGTATTTCTTATTTTTGTCATTGTTAATTTTATTAGTTTGATTAAAGTAGTTTTTATTTTTTTATTTTTATAGGAGAATGCAAAATATAAGAAATTCAGGAACAAAGATCTCTCGCTCATATGGTTTCGCTACGATGCATTATTTGCTGATGTCGTTGCCACAGGAGAAAGAGCACGTGCAGCAAATCAAGAACAATCATCAGGCATTGGAGTTAATCTTGATGAAGAAGGAATAAATGTCATTGATGATTGTGACAAAGAACACTTTACTTCTCTTAATGATGAAATGAGCGATGAAAGTGATGATCTACAAAATATAAATTCTGTTATGTTTCCAGAGCCATCACTAAAAAGACAAAAATCAACTGATGGTATTAGCACCAGTAGTCAAGTTAGAAAGAGTAAGAAAAAAACAGCTGCAACATTAATAAAAGAGGATATTCACTCTCTCATAGAGTTTATGTCTAGCAAAAGCACTGCTACATCTCCTGCAGTTGATGAAACATCCATCGAAAAGTGTATTGGAACGTTGGGACAAATTCCTGATATTCTAGCTGAGAGTGAAATTTACAGTTTTACTATGAATATGTTCCGCAAGAAAAATAATCGACGGATATTTTTGGGGATGCCTACTGATGAAGCTCGCAAGTGTTGGTTGGAGTTTAACTACCAGTTATACCTTAACAAAAATGGATAATGTATCGTTGTGATTGAGTCTTTGTATTATTCCGTATTCGAATATTGTGATTGTATGTGTAAACTTTATTATGGTTTTATGTGTAAACTTTATTATGGTTTTATGTGTATGTGACTTTATTATGGTTTTATGTGTAAACTTTATTATGGTTTTATGTGTATGTGACTTTATTATGGTTTCATGTGTAAAATCATGTCATTAGTATCTTGACATCAGTTACAAAGTTGGAATATATTTGGAATTTGAGCAATTTCAGTTAACTTAAGCTTCTGTTAGCTTCAACTTTAATTTTTATCAATCTTTTAGTTAACATTTTTGTTTTTCCATTCAGTTAAATGGAGAGTTCAAACTCTAGTGACATAATAGATGAAAATCCAAGTTATTCGTCAGACGATGAAGATGAAGAAGAACTGGAGGAAATACAGAGGGAGCAAAATGAGAAGGAATGGACTGCTTTATGTCAAATAGCAGGTAAATTAATATTGATGTATTACCAAAAATATCTATGAAAGGAACCTTGTCGTACATCTAGTCGCTCTGGAAATGTATTTATTCAAGAGATATTAAGAGGAAACGAGACTCGTTGTTATGAAAATTTTCGATTGAGGAAGTCGGTGTTTGTTGATCTATCGAATGACTTAACTGAAAACTATGGGCTTAAACCCACACGTGGAATGTCTATACACGAGATGTTAGGCATGTTCTTGATGACTTGTGCACATGGAGCTGGAAATCGATTGATACAGGAAATCTTTCAACATTCGAGAGAAACAATACATAGACACTTTCATAGTGTTTTAAAGGCGATTTGTGTGCTTGCAAGAGATATAATTAAACCACATCAAAATTATAATGATGGTGCAGGAGCTCACAAGTCATGTAATGGTCGATATCTCCCTTTCTTTAGAGTAAGAAATATTTTTATATTTTTTTTATTAAATTTATAACTTAAATTTTAGAAGTATTAATAACTTATGCTAAATTTATACTTGTAAATGTATGTAGGATTGTATTGGAGCACTTGATGGCACACATGTTAAAGCAAGGTTACCACAAGGTTAAGAGATACCATATATTGGACGTAAAGGTTATCCGACTCAAAATATTCTTGCTGTCGTAGATTTTAATATGTGTTTTACATTTGCATGGGCTGGGTGGGAAGGAGCAGCTCACGATAGCCGTATATTTGGTGAGGCCCTTCGTAGACCAGAACTTAACTTTCCACGTCCAATCGGAAATAAGTATTATCTAGTTGATGCAGGATATCCTCACATGAAGGGATATATGGCTCCATACAAAGGAGATAATGTGAGATATCACCTAGCACAATTCCGCCGCGGTGCAACAAGACAATTGCGAGAACCAAGAGGGAGAATTGAAAAATTTAACTATTTGCATTCCTCTTGTAGAAATATTGTTGTGCGAACATTTGGGGTTTGGAAAGCAAGATGGTCAATTTTGCGAGACATGCCTTTTTATCACATTGACACTCAAAGAGACATCGTACTTGCTACTATGGCCATTCATAACTATATTAGAAAGAAATGCAATAGGGATGATGCATTCCGAGCAGCTGAGAATGAGAGATATGTTCCATTTGTTGATCCTGATGTTGGTACATCTTTGAGAGCTCATAACAGTATAAATGCGGAAAATGTGGAAGAGCAAAGTGATCTTGTTTGGATGGGTCTTCGTGATTTTATTGCTAATGAAATTTGTGAAGCTTGATACTTATAGTGTATTAATATTTATTATTTGTAAACCACTAATATTTATTGGTTAACCACGTTTCAGAATGAGGGGAGGCATCAACATACATCAATATATGGTATTTATATGTATGTATTTGAGTTGCCAAGATTTTATAACTTTCATATGTGTTTGGGTTGCGAGATATTAACGTTCTACATGTATGTATTTGGTTTTAATGAATGAAAACTCAATGCACTGTTTTTGTGTGCATAGCTGAATAACATATCTTGTGAAACACCAAGAATGTTTTTTGTTTTATGTTATCTTGAACAATAATATCTTATTTATGTTGGAATTAATTTCTTTCCCCTACTTGGCATTTCTTCTGTCAAATTTTTAGTATTGTAATGATTTTTTTGTGTTTTTAGTTAAAAAATAATTTGTTTGTGTTTTATATTGTAGTAATCAGGTCCTTTTATAATGTTAACAGCTTTAAGGATATTTCTGTCTTTTTAACAGAAAAAAGTTCTTACCACCACTTGTCTACCAAACACTTCAACAGCTTTTTTTAAGCTTCAACACTTTTATCCAAACAGGTAACTGCTTATTTATAAATTAAGTTTCAGCACTTAAAAGCTGCTTTTAAGCCCATGTGCTTAAAAGCTATTTTTTTCCAGCTAATCCAAACGGCTCTAAGTCAGTTTCACCCCTATAAATAGAGGGGTCTTACCCCATTGTAAATCACCCCAAAATTCAATAAGAATTTTCTCTCTCTTTTTCTCTGCAATATTGCTCTTGTTCTTTTATTGCTTTATAACATGTTATCAGCACGAGACGCTACTGTCTCAAGAAGCTCTTTGAGAAGATTAAGCAAATATGGATATCTCACAAAACAAACTTGGATCAAAATTCAATTGTAAAAATATTTGTTTACTTAATTCATGTACCACACATACAATATTCAAAGAGAAGAAATATTTCTCTCATTTAAGTATGTGTAAGACACATGTTACTACAATTTCTCGTAGTAGTAAATTAATTGAAGACTCTGGAAGAGCTACTATAACCCTGCCTAAGGGAACAATATTTATCATAGAGAATGCAATGTTCTCCTCCAAGTCCAAGAGGAACGGTTTTAAAGATATCCGTCAAAATGAATATCATATTGAGACAATAGATGAGAATAACCTTGAATATCTCATCATTACAAAGAATGTCTCTGACCAAAAGAGGGTTATTGAGAAGTTCTCATCTTTATCTTGTGGTCTGTATTGGGCAAGAATTAGTGCAGTTGAGGCACATTTTACCGTAAACCAAAAGGTTACTGATTCCAATACTTTTGTACTTTGGCATGATCGATTGAGACATCCTGGATCAATTATGATGAGACGAATTATAGAAAACTCAAATGGGCATCCATTAAAGAATTTTAAGTTTCTTTTTAATAATGAATTTTCTTGCACTTCTTGTTATCAAGGCAAGTTAATTATTAGACCATCACCAACAAAGGTTGGATTTGAGTCCCCTGCGTTTTTGGAACGTATACAAGGGGACATTTGTGGACCTATTCACCCACCTAGTGGGTCGTTTAGATATTTTATGGTCTTAATAGATGCATCTTCTAGATGGTCCCATGTGTGCCTATTGTCATCTCGCAACCTTGCGTTTGCAAGATTAATGGCACAAATAATTCGATTACGGGCACAATTTCCCGATAATCCAATCAAGTCTATTCGACTTGATAATGCTACTGAGTTTTTATCCCAAGCATTTAATGAGTATTTTATCAATTGGGATAAAAGTGGAACATCCCGTAGCTCATGTTCACACTCAAAATGGTCTTGCAGAGTCTTTAATTAAACGTTTGCAATTGATAGCAAGATCGTTACTCATAAAAATGAGGCTGCCTATTTCTGTTTGGGGTCACGCCATTTTGCATGCAGCAATGCTAGTTCGTCTCAGACTGACAAATTATCATAAATATTCCCCATTGCAATTAGTTTTGGGTCATGAACTTAATATATCCCATTTAAGAATTTTTGGATGCGCAGTATATGTGCCTGTAGTACCTCCATATCGCACCAAAATGGGTCCACAAAGAAGGTTAGGAATATATGTTGGGTTTGAATCGCCCTCCATTATTCTCTACCTCGAAACATTGACGGGGGATTTGTTTACTGCACGATTTGCAGACTGTCGATTCAATGAGACACTTTTCCCAAAATTAGGGGGAGAAGTTGGTGAAACCAAACGGGAAATTTTGTGGAAAAATCCATCATTATCTCATCTTGATCCACGTGCCTCTATTTGTGAAAAAGAGGTGCAAAAGATTATCCATTTGCAAAGAATATCAAATCAAATGCCAGACGCATTTCGGATTTGAAAAGGATAACAAAATCTCATATCCCTGCAGAGAATGTTCCAATTCGTATTGATATCCCTATTGGACAATCTTCTAGTGCCATAGCTAATGAGTCGAAAGCACGCCTAAAACGTGGCAGACCATTAGGTTCCAAAGATCGAAATCCTAGAAAAAGAAAAACAAATGATCAAAATAACACTACGAAAGAATCTCATGAAGAAATCCACGATTTAATAAATTTTGAGATTCATGAGGAATACACTGAGTCCGAGACTCCAGAAAATAAGGAACTATCAATAAATCCAATCAATATTGAAAAAAATTTGAATCGAGTGGATATAGTGGTGGATTATGTCTTTGTATATTATGTTACATCTAGCATTATGTAAGAAAGTGAGGATCTTGAACCTCAATATGTTGGAAAATATCAACAAAAACTTGATTGGCCAAAATGGCAAGAAGCAATCCAATCAGAATTGAATTCACTTGCAAAACGTGAAGTTTTTGGGTCTGTAGTCCAAACACCTAATGGTGTCAAGCCTATTGGCTATAAATGGGTTTTGTACGCAAGAGAAATGAGAAAAACAAGGTACAAAGATATAAGGCACGCCTTGTTGCACAAGGTTTTTCACAAAGGCCTGGTGTCGATTTTGAAGAGACATATTCACCCATTATGGATGCTATAACTTTCCATTATCTCATTAGTTTTATTGTCCATGAAAAGCTTGACATGCATTTAATGGATGTGGTTACCGCCTACCTTTATGGCTCACTTGATAATAAGATATACATGAAAATTCCCGATGGCTTCAAAATGCCAAACATACATAATTCTAAGTCCCAGGAAATGTTTTCAATCAAATTGCAAAGATCTTTGTATGGTCTAAAGCAATCAGGACGAATGTGGTATAATCGTCTCGTTGAGTATTTATTAAAGGAAGGCTATATAAATGATGCCATTTGCCCATGCGTTTTTATAATAAAAACAACATCGGAATTTGTTGTACTTACTGTATATGTTGATGACATAAACCTTATTGGAACTCCTATAGAACTCCAAAAGGCAATTGATTATTTAAAGAAGGAATTCGAGACGAAGGATCTCGGAAAGACAAAATTATGTCTTGGTTTGCAAATTGAACATTTAGCAAACGGAATTTTTGTTCATCAAGCTGCCTACATAGAAAAGGTATTGAAACAATTTTATATGGATGGAGCACATCCTTTAAGTACTCCGATGGTTGTTTGATCACTTGATGTGAATAAGGATCCATTCCAACATCAAAAAGAATGAAGAGCTACTTGGTCCTGAAGTACCATATCTTAGTGCAATTGGCGCACTGATGTATCTTGCAAATACAACAAGGCCTGACATAACCTTTTCAGTTAATGTCTTAGCAAGATATAGCTCTACTCCCACAAGGAGACATTGGAATGGAATCAAACACATATTGCGGTATCTAAAAGGGACTACCGATATGGGCTTATTTTATGGCAATAATTGCAGTCCCGATCTTGTTGGTTATGTTGATGCTGGGTATTTATCTTACCCTCATAAGGCTCTATCTCAAACAGGTTATGTGTTTACCTGTGGAGGCACTGCCATATCTTGGCGATCGACTAAGCAATCAATTGTGGCTACTTTATCTAATCATGCTGAGATAATTGCTATTCATGAAGCAAGTCGAGAGTGCGTGTGGTTGAGGTCTATAATACATCTTATTCGAGACAAATGTGGTTTAAAATGTGACAAACTACCCATGATTTTGTATGAAGATAATGCAGCATGCATAGCTCAATTGAAGGGAGGATTCATAAAAGGAGATAGGACAAAGCACATTTCACCAAAGTTATTTTTCACACATGATCTTCAAAAGAATGGTGATATCAATGTACAACGGATTAGTTCAAGTGATAATATGGCTGATTTGTTCACAAAATCTCTACTGACGTCAGCCTTCAAGAAGTTAGTACACAAGATTGGGATGCGAAGGCTCAAGGATGTGAATTGATGCTCTCATCAGGGGGAGTTAATGCGCGTTACACTCTTTTTCCCTTGCAAGGTTTTGTCCCACTGGGTTTTTCTTGCAAGGTTTTTAATGAGGCAACCAAAAGGCGTATTGTTAGATAGGTGTACTCTTTTTCCTTTTCTAGAATTTTTTTCCTATTGGGTTTTATTTTAGTTAAGGTTTTAATGAGACACATTATTTATTGAGTAGACATTCAAGGGGGGGGGTGTTATGAATAGAATTCTATTTGGAGTGAATGTCTATCTTGTAGAGAGTTTTACTTTGAGGCTAAGTCAGTTTTTCCCCTATAAATAGAGGGGTCTTAACCCATTGTAAATCACCCCAAAATTCAATAAGAATTTTCTCTCTCTCTTTCTCTGCAATATTGCTCTTGTTCTTTATTGCCTTATAACAGAACACCCATTATTCTAGAAAATACACTTTATAGAGTGAGGCTACCTAATTATGCTTTACTTGATAGTATTGTACATTTTTAGCGGGTGTTTGGATATAAGAATTGTAAAATTCCAAAAAATGTGGGAAAAGATCACGTGAAAATGATATTTGAAAATTAGAGTTGTATTTCGATATGAATTAATTTTTGATTAGTTTTGAATTTTTGTGAGTATTCTAAGTAAAACATTTGACCTTTTCGCGATTTTACAATTTTTTCACAAAAATTCATAGATTTTACCAAAATAAATTTAGATTTTATTTGGCAAACACATGTTTGGCCATATATTTTTGCGACATTTTGTAAACGGATATCCGAATATATTTTTATCTACAAGCCAAACTTCACCCAAATTGATTTTTCAAAATAAATTTAAAAATTTATGACCAAATGGTAACTTATACTTTATAAATCTTGCTTGAATTTTATCTTTATAATAGTTGACAAAAAAAATATTTTGATAAAAGATACTAAAGGTTCAAAGGACAATAAATATGAGAATCTTGTAGAATCTCCTCTAAATGTTGTAACTAGCCTCTTTTCTTTTTTTGGTAAATAGCTCATTCATTTCATTCAAAAAAAAAAACATATTTACAGAATATGGTAGATACAGACCATCTACTCCTCAGTATATATTCTCTATCTGTAGATTCAGTGTCTTCATCACTAAATCTAAGTAGCTAAAAACTAACAGCTAATCAAAATACATCAAGGCTAGTTATACTCAAGAACTAAGTTATGCTTTATGAGTACCCACCGAGTGTTGTAAGAGCTCCATGCCAGTGTTGTATTTCCTGCCTTCTGATGTGTATATGAATTGTGATTTCTCTGCATACACTGTTCACATTTACCGCACTTTCCTAGAATCGAACTTTGTTCTTTTTTCTCCATATGGTGTAAACCATCATGCCAAATACACACGTGAAAATTTCCCAGTGACCGCTCTTTTTTGTAGCATAATGACTTATCCATTCCACCTCATTTTGCCAATTTTGAACAGATCTATCATGTCCTAACTATATCAGCAGTCTCAACCAAACTTTCATTTGTCACAGAACATTCAAAGAATAAATGGTCAAAAGTTTCATCAACTAGCTTATAGAGTGCACATTGTTGAGTTATTTGAACACCAAACTTCAGTAGTCTGTCAACTGTAGCTAATCTTCTTTGTAGTGCTAACCATAGAATGAATTTAAACCTGGGATGCATTCTTGGTTGAAGCACAATACCTTTCCATGGTACCTTTGATTGTTGGGGAAATTGTAGTCGATATAGCTTCCTAATGCTGAAGGAAGTTCCATTTTGTAATTGATTCAGTCTGCTCAGAAGGTTGCCTTGAATACCCTGAGTATCCCCTATGAGATTCCTTGATTCCAGAATTTTCCGGACTACCCAAGCTGCATTTTTGGGTATTGGCATTTGTTATAGTGTGTGGTGTTTTATGTAGAAAGTATGAATCCATTTGATCCATAAGCAATCTTTCTTCTTTGCCACAGCCCAGAAGTGTTTTGCTACAGCAGCTCTGTTCCATACCACCAAATTCAACACATTTAAACCACCTGCTCCTTGTGGTAGACAAACTTTGTCCCACGAAACCAAAGCCTTTTTTGATATTGTTGATGAACCAGTCCACAAAAAGATCTGCATATAGCTTCTACCATCTTCATCACCTTCTTTGGTAGTAAGAAGGTCTGTGCCCACTATGACTATATGCCAAATATAACTGACTTGATCAGTTGTACATGCCCTGCATAAGATAAAACTCTTGTTGTCCAACAATTGATTCTTTGAGTAATCTTCTCCACTAGAGGCCAGCATTGTATGATTGAAAGTTTCTTCGATGCCAAAGGTACTCCCCAAGTATTTAAATGGGAGTGTACTTTCAGGGAACTCCAATTCTTGTAGTATATCCTGCTTTTGGTTTGCTGAGACACCTGCTAAATAAGTTGCACTCTTCTCTGCATTTGCTTGCAAACCTGATGCTTCAGAAAACTTTTGGAAAGTTTGTCTAAGCAATCTAAGGGATTGTAAGTCAGCCCTGCAAAACATGAGAAGGTCGTCAGCAAAACAAACATGCACCACTCCAAGCTTTTGGCATCTGGGATGGAATTTGAATTTTTTATTCTTCATCATCTGGGCAAACTCCCTTTGTAGGTACTCCATTGCCAAAACAAAAAGATAAGGTGATATTGGGTCGCCCTGTCTTATCCCCCTTCTTATTTTGAATGTCTTTGTCAGTCCCCCATTTATGTTCAATAAATTGGTTACTGAGGATATACATTCCATGATCCAACCTGTGAACTTATAAGGGAACCCCAAGTCCAGCAACACTTTTTCCAGGAATGTCCACTCTAAGGTGTCATAAGCTTTCCTTAAATCCACCTTCAATACACATCTATCTTGGTGAGATACCTTTTCTATTATACCCTTTAAACAACTCATGTATAAAGAGGATATTATCTGTGATACATTTGCCCTCAATGGAAGCTGATTGTGACTCCCCGACCAGTCCTCCAATTACTCTCTTTATTCTGGCTGTGATAACCTTTGTAATGATCTTGTATAAGGTTGTGCAACAAGCTATTGGTCTATAGTTCTTTACATGATTGGGATTCTGCACTTTAGGAACTAGTGTCACAACAGTACTACTGATTCCTTTGTGCATCTTACCAGTTGCAAAAAACTATTTGACAGCATCATAAATATCATCTCCCATTTTCTGCCAGTGTTTGGTGAAGAATTCAACTGGAAATCCATCAACCCCAGGGGCCTATTCATTAGGCATATCATTTATTGCATTCTGGATCTCCACCACTGTAATCTCTTGAATGAGTGCCTCCTTCTAACTTAAAGTGAGGCACAGACCTAGTTGAATAACTTCTGTGTTAGGATATCTATGCTGACTGCCTCTTTCCCCCATGAGTTTAGTGAAAAAGGAAATGAATTCATTCTCTAGTTGAATAGGATCAGTTACTCTTGTTCCATCATCTTTATAGATTGATGTAATTGCACTCCTACTTGTCCTCACCTTCCATTGAGCATGAAAGTACTTAGAGTTTGAATCACAACATATGATCCAATTTGCTCTGGACTTCTGCTTAAGTACCCGCTCCTCAATATTGCTCCATTTTTCAACCTCTGCCAAGTCCTTCTTTCTTGCTCAATCAAATCTTGGCCCAGGTGTTGGATCATGAGTTGAGTCTATATGACGTCAAGCTTGTGCCTTGCGTGGTTTAGGTGTTTCTTGTAGGAAGCCATATAAGCATTCAAGTCTTTCAGGTCTCTCTTCAGCATCTTCAACCTTAGCCAGATTTTTTGCAATGGATCTGCCTGTATATTTTATTTCCAAACTCTGTTACCAATCTCTTTAAACTCAACATTCTCCATAACTGAACTATACAATTTGAATGGCTTTGGATGTAGACTCCTCTGCTGATGCCCTTGATTGCATTGAATTAAAATAGGGAAATGATCAGATGCCTCCGGATTTAAGTATTCAGCTTCAATATGACCATAATGTTGCAGGCAATCAAAATTTTCAAAAGCCCAATCAATCTTGTTGTAGACTCTTTTATCAGGTTGTTGCTTGTTGCACCATGTATAGTACCACCCCAAGCTTTTTAATTGGGTAAGTTGTAGAGTGTTTAGCAGATCCTGCAACCCTTGTGTTTCACTTTGTGTAACTGGAGTTCCAATTCTGCCATCCGTGAACAACACATTATTAAAATCTCCACATAATAGCCAACACCCTTGAACTGTACTCCCTAACTGAGCAAGTGTCCTCCATAGTTGACCTCTCTGATTACTGTCATTGCTTGCACATATCATAGTTATTGTAATGTTGAAGTTAGAACTTGGTTCCTGCAACTTATAGTGAATAAACTAATCCTCAACTTGTATAATCTGAACATTCACATTCCCTTTCCATAGTAACCAAATCCTACCATTTGGATGAGCATTATAATTGCAACATACATTCAAATCCATTGCCACTTGACTAATAATTTTAGTAAATTTCCTCTCCTTTACTCTTGTCTCCAAACATCCCATTACATTTAGCTTATACTTCTTCAGAAAGAGTCTAAGCTCCTTCTGTTTGTGGGGCTTATTTATCTCCCTTATATTCCACGTACATAGGTTCATATCTGGGTGAAGCTATATGGGCCAGCGTCCCCTTTAAGTGATTGTGTTTCATTCATCTGCAGGATATCAAATCTATTGGCAGAAATAAAACCTGTAGCATTCTCTACAGCTTTGCCTTTGTTACTGGATCTGTATTCCATGTATTTTGTCCCTTCAACCTCCACCTATCACTCCTTGAGCATCCTCTGTAGCTAAATTTTGCTTGTGAACTCCAGTTTCCATTCCATTTGACAAAGGAATGGAGTGAATGCTCTTATCAGCTTGCCCCTTTACATTCTCATTTTCCTCTTCTCTATTCACCTTTGGTATCCATTTGAGGTTCTGCTTTTGATTGTTCTTCCTCTTCTGTTCTGGCTTCCTT